GGGAACAGCCGCATGAATCATGGACGTACGAGCGACGTCCATGACCATGCCAATGTGGCGCTCACCAATCCCATTTTGCTGTAGAGAGGCCGGAAGCGTGAACGTTTGGCGGATGCCCTGTGCACGAAAGAAGGCTCCCAGAAGGCCAGAGGAAAACTCCCCGCCTGTGTCAGAGTGCAGATGCAGAACAGGATAGTCTGAGCCGAAAATCTCTCTGAGCTGGAGACGAGCTGCACGAATCCAGTCGATCAACATCTCAGCGACATCACCCTTGCTGCGCAAGGGGAACACCGTGGTGTAACGCGAGTAGTTGTCAACCACCAACAGGAAGTAACGCTCGTGACCCTGGCCACAGACGCGGGCGAGGCCCCACACGTCCATGTGAAGAGTTTTCAGTGGAGCCTCTGTCGGAGGAAACTCGGAGGAGTGAGTAGCGGCGCGCTGTCGCACCTCGACGCAGGGAACGTAGGTGGGGGCAGGCCCCGGAGGGAGGGGAGGGGAGGGACCGGGGAAGAGCAGAGACAAGGACACGGGAGGCCATGCCCCGGAGATGAGGCAGGGAGGGGTGACCATGGCGGTGGTGCCAGAGGAGAGTCCGGTGGGACAGGAGATGACACGAGCAGGGAGCAGACTCCGGACCAGTCCTGGACGCTGCAGCAAACACCTGACCCGACGCAGCTTCCTGACCAGACTTTGCAACCGGAGGAGATTCAGTAGTCAGTGTGTACAGGCTCGACCCCGGCTGACGTGTAAACGTGGCCAAGTGTCGGCCCGTCCGAGCACACGTACAGTGGGTCACCCGCTGACTCGCAGGAGTGAACTCGTCAACCACCCCATCCTGGAGATCAGCACCACTCACCAAGTTTGCAGAGAACGAGGGGAGGTAGAGTCCTGACAGGGTGCCAGAGGGGGCCGCCGGACACGGTAAGACAGTGGAGAAGTGGGCAAGGACAGGACCCCCAGAGGGGTCCGTCAGGGAGACCGCAACTGGCCGACTAAGCGGCGCAAGCGTGGTGCGGTCTAGGAAGAAGGAGCGGGAAGCACCCGAGTCAAGGGTGAAGGTGTGTAAGGCCTGAGCCGACGTGGTACATGAGAGAGCAGACTCACCAGTACCTGGGATAGTAGACGCACTAGCACCTAGAGCGGCAGCCTCACCAGCACCTAGAGCGGCAGCCTCAATGCCCGGGTCAGGCGGAACACACAGGTAGCAGTCACCCTCATCACTAGTAGACACAACATACATGGCAGCAAGAATAGCATCATAATCCAGATCAAAGATAGCAACCCCCGACCTAAGCAGCTCGCCCCAGCGGGGGATCTGAGTGGCGTCACGGAACTGGAGACGCCAAGCGTCCGTTAGGCGGCCAAAGGAGCGCTGGGTGGTGTGCGGGCCACCGCACGGCTCACCAGTGCGGTCGCTGATACGCAGGACGTAGGCACAAGGACCAGCACCCCCGCCCCTCTGACGCGCAGCATACCACTCACGAAGCTGCTGGGGGGGCGGGGTCTCACGAGTGCGCTACTGCTGCTGGCGCTGACCACCACCGAAGCCGCCCCGCTGCACAGAGCCACCCCGACCAGCTCCACCTCCGCCGCCTCCGCCTCCGCCACCGCCGCCACCGCCGCCTCCTCCGCTCCCACCGCCACCGCTGCCGCCGCCTCCGCCTCCACCACTACCACCGAAGCCCTTACCCCCGCTACCACCCCCACCGCCACCCCCACTCCCTCCGCCGCCTCCACTACTACCTCCACCACCCCTGCCAGCCCCTCCAGCGCCCTTTCCCCCCTTGCCCTTGCCGGTGCGGCGTCTCCCGCTAGAGGCAGACGCAGCGCCGACCGACTCGGTGCCAACGAAGTCGAGGGCAGTAGCAGAGGCAACAGAGGGCAAAAGGGGCGAGGGGGAGCACCCCTCAAAGAAGGGGGCACGAGGGTCACCACGAGAGGCTCCTACAGCGACTATACTCTTCTCAGCTGCTAGGAGGCGCTCCTCGAGGAGGTCAACGGTGAGTGTGCTGGGGCAAACAGAGAGGAAGTGGTCCCTGACCGAGCGAAGGGAGTCAGAGAGCCGGGTGACTATGTAGTAGAGGGTGATGTACATGGGGGGGGGGGGGGGGGGGGGGGGGGTTCTTGGCGCAGAACCCAGCAGGAAGCGCAGCGCGGTAGCGGGTGTCACTAGTGCGAAGGTGCGTAATGAGGTCAGCGACTGTGGGAAAGGCGGCGAGGTCAGGGAACAGGTACGGCAGCATGAGGCGGCTAAGGGCAGCAGCGGCGGGGGAAGAGTAGCGTGCGACTACAGCGTCGTACTAGGTCTGCGCACTCTTGTACTGACTGAAGTGCGCGCTCTCAGAGGACGGTAAGTGACTACGCACAACAAGACGAGCAGCAGCATCGCGTGTGGCCCACTGTGAGCGAACAGTGATGTCAGTATCGGCAGCAGGGGCAGCAGAGGCGCCAGACGTGAGATCGAACAATGAGAGACCATCTTTCCTATCGCACTGTAGGAAAAGCTGTAGATCAAAGTCAACAGCCCGACCCTCAGCATCAAAGACGAGAATGCTAGGGGTAGCCATGGCAGCAGTGGCAGCAGGCTAGGGGCAGCAGGAGCAGTAGCAGCAGTAGGGTCGCAGCTCGGCGGTGCTCTTACCAGGGCAGAGGGCAGCAAGTGGTGGGGCAGGGCCGAGGCGCGCCGGAAGGGACGGGGCCGCTACAGGGCGGCAGAGGAGTGCCGCTCCTCTTCGCAGGGCAGGGCCGGGACTGCGGCGGCGGTCCCTGCTGTCGGTGGCGGCGGCGGCTGCAGTCAGCGGTTGCGGCGGCTGCGGCCCCGGTTGTGGCGGCGGCGGCTGCGGCGGCTGCGGCCCCGGGAGTGACGGTGGCGGCTGCTGCTGTCGGCGGCTCCGGCGGTGGCGGCTTCCGATGCAAGGGCGGCGATGGCTGCTGCTGCAGGGGCGGCGATGTTGGGGCGGCAGGGCCGTGAGGGAGCCAAGAAGGGGCCGCGAAGGAGCCGTGAGGGGTCGCGAAGGGTGGCGACAGGGCCGAGAAGGGGCCGTGAGGGGCCGCGAAGGGCGACGACGGGGCCGTGAAGGGCGGCGACGGGGCCGTGAGGGGGCGCGAAGGGCGGCAACGGGGCCAAGAAGGGGCCGCGAGGGGCCACGAAGGGCGGCGACGGGGCCGTGAAGGGCGGCGACGGGGCTGAGAAGAGGTCGCGAGGGGCCACGAAGGGCAGCGATGGGGCCTTGAAGGGCGGCGACAGGGCCGCGGAGGGCGGCGACGGGGCCGTGGAGGGGCCGCGAGGGGCCGCGAGGGGCCGCGAGGGGCCACGAAGGGGCCGCGAGGGGCCGCGAAGGGGCCGCGAAGGTCCGTAAGGGGCCGCGAAGGGCCGTGAGAGGGGCCACGAAGGGTGGCGGAGGGGCAGCGAGGAAGCCGCGAAGGGGCCACGAGGGGCCGTGAGAGGGGCCGCGAGGGGCCTTAAGAGGGCGCGGCGGGCCGCTAAGGGCGGGGACGTGACGGGAGGGCAGGCACACGGGGCGCGACTCGGGCAGGAGCGAAGCGCGCTCCGGGCAAGAATTTTTTTTTTCAATCGTGGTGGGCCCTATGAAGCGTTCCCACTAGGGAACCTGCTCTATACCATGTGAAAGAACGAGGAATGAATGCACTAGGAAACACGCGGGTGCAAGTAGGAAAACCTAAAAGTGTTGTACCCCATATTATCTACCCCACTACATCCTACACAGACTATAGCATATAAGTCTGACAGGCACGATCATTTCGGAAGAACAGCATGGTTTTTTTACCAGGCAAACGACTTTCAAATGTCGTATCGACAGTTGCTGACGTGATAGAGGCTGCGAGCAATGACCGGGAAGACTGGTACTTGTTGATAATCGATTTTCAGAAGGCGTTCGACTCTGTGTCGTGGACGTTCCTTTTTTACATGATGGCGCTGATGGGATTCCCGAGTAAATTCATCCGATGGTGCGAAGTTCTGCATGACGGCTCCTTCACCCGACTTCTGGTGAACAGTTCGCTAGGAGACCGAGTTGATGTTCGCAAGGAAGTTTTGCAGGGATGTCCTCTGGCTTCCTACCTCTTCTTGTGTGCGGTGGAGCCGCTCTGCCAAGAGGCGAAGCGTAGGAGGTTAGGGATTTGCAATGACCACGGCGATAGATTGGCCTACCTCGACTATGCTGATGACACGACGCTTGTGTTGAAGGGAAAGAGGCAAATCAAACGGGCGGAGGAGTTCGGTGCTCGCTCTGGCCTTCAAGTCAACAAGGATAAATCGGCGCTGCTCCCGCTGGGGGCTAACCTGAAAGAAGAAAGAAACGAGGGGTCAACCTTCGCGTGGGTGAACGCAAAGGATGCGGAAAGACTTTTGGGCGTATGGTGAGAAAACTGAAGGTAGGTGGCGGGGCCAGCAGGTAGGCGCCGGGGCCGCAGGTAAGGGCGGCGGGGCCGCTGGTAGGTGGCGGGGCCGCAGGTAGGTGGCGGGGCCAGTAGGTAGGCGCCGGGGCCGCAGGTAAGGGCGGCGTCAAGGCCGTAGGGCGGCGCGAGGGCCGCAGGGTAGGCAACGAGGCCGCAGGGCGGCGGATCGGGGCCGGGAAAGGGCGGCGCGAGGGCCGCGGGGTAGGCGACGAGGCCGCAGGGCGGCGGGTCGGGGCTAGGAAGGGCGGCGCGAGGGCCGCGAGGTAGGCGACGGGGCCGCTAGGGCGGCGCGACTGGGTCGAGAAAGGGGAGCGCGACTCGGGCTAGGGCTGAGCGCGCTCCGGGCAGGAAAAAAAAATTCGACTTGGTGGGCCCTAGGGACAGTTCCCACGAGGGAACCTGCTTGATACCATGAGAAAACTGAAACGAGAATGAATGAACTATGAAAGAAGTGGGTACAAGTACTAACCCTAATTGGGTTGTACCCCCTATGGGATACCCCACTACAGCCTACACAATATGTAAAAGCTACAATGTTCCGACATATGGGTCTCCCCATCTGGAAGATCAGAGGTTACATGGGACAAGGTGCTAGCCATAGCGGCGGAGGAGCTGGTGAAATGGCAGTCGCACCACTTAACCACAACGATGAGGGTGGTGGTTGTCAACGCTTACGTGTGCCCGATCTTGGCATTTCAAGATCAGGTCTAACCCTCATCAGAAAGCATATGGAAGCGGATCATGAAGCTGCTTGTCAACTTCATCCCCGGCAATAGGACTGGTGGAGTGCCATTTCACGCTCTGGAGTCAAGAGCTGATCTTCAGGCCGCGGAAGGACGGCAGGCTGGGGGTATGCGACCCTTTCATGGAGCTCAGCGGCCTGGCCGCCAGAAGGGTGGGGAAGCTGGTGTTGGCCAGGAGCGGTGTTCGCAGTTGGCTGGCAACAAAGGCAGCCGACCTTCTTGCTGGATTTCGCTCTTTCTGGGCGCATCCGGAGTTCCTGAAAGCATGGAAGGGTAGGAGCGTCAGATGGAAGCAGACTTGCGAGATGTTCATGCGGTCAAGCATCTCAAAGAAGGGTCCGATTTCGCACTGGGACATCGCGCAGGAGCCGCTGGTGTTTAATCGGCAGGTCCTGCCAAACGTGAAGAAGTCGCTTGGACGGAAGGAGGCTGCAAAAGGGCTGGAGCTGTTGAAACTCGGTGATTTCGTTGGTCAAACGGAGGACGGCGCTTTTTTCTTCAAGGACGAGAAGCTGCTAACAAAAGAGCTGGGCACGCGTAAGAAAGTGATGAGGGCGCTCAAGGTTTTCGGTAGCGTCCCTGACTCCTGGAAGGAGAAACTGGTAGCGCCGATCGCAGGAGAGGAACTCCTGGCAGAGTCGGCTTTTGTAAAGAAAGTGGGCATGGTGGGAGCCTGGAAAGCAGAGAGGGTGGTGCAAGAGGGACTTGCCTGCCGCGCATGTGACTGCTTTGGTGTGCCCCTCGTGGGGGCAGTGGTGTCAACTGTGGCTTTTGCCCTAGACAAGGTGGAGCCGTTGATGGTGAGGGGCGGAAGGGTGATTGGAGCAGGAGGCCTACCCGAGGTACGGCTGCGCTGCTCGGAACTCTGCATGGATGATCGGATCCCTCCCTTCAGGCAGCTGATATTGCTCTTTGGCAAGCAACAGGGAGTGATGCAGCAGCAGGAAAAATGGTCGGAAGAGTGGGGGAAAGTGATTGATTGGAAAAGAGTCATGAGGGTGCGGGATTGCGCGGTGCTTCCGAACCGAGCCCGTGACGTCCTGCTTCGCGTGCATTGTCGTAATCTCCATGTTGGGGTGAGGCTGAATTTACTGGAGGAGGTGGCATGTCCGTACTGTGGAGAGGAAGAGACAGTGGAGTCCTGCTTGTTTGGCTGCCCTCGTATTCAACCAGTGGTGCAAGGGCTGCTGAAGGCTCTCGGCATGATCAACCCGGGCAGGAAAATTACTTCACTCGGTGACCTGCTTTTTCATAAGGAAGGCTCGACCTCGGGCTTCCTAGAATCGACTGTCACGGCCATCGCCCTACACAAGATATAGGTGGAAAGGTGTGACGCGGCTTTTGAGAGAGGGCGCCTTCGGTCCAGGAGGGTGCTGCGGAAGATTGCAGCTGCTTTTTACACCCATACGAGAATCCATCTTCGGGCGAAAAAAGGAAGTAAGCCGGCAGGAGACATGCTTGGGCCGGGGAAACGTTCCATCCTGGAGCGGTTGGATCCAGACAAATTTCGACTTGTAAGCGGAATATGTAACAGCTCGACAAAATCGGTTACGTGGACCAGTGGTTTCACCTCCATTTGGGCCAATCCGCGCACAATTTTCCGCCCCCCATAAGTTGTCGGGATGGGTACGATGGCAGGGTGCTGTCTAGGCCCATCAGCTACAATTACGATACTTAATGCTTGTATGCGCTATTATAGTGTAACTCGCATTGCCAAATATATATACATATATATATACATATATAAGCAGTTACCAGTGAGTTACTCCAACAAGATAATGCAAGGACATTCCTTACCGCGACCCGCAAGATCGCGTACGGCAGGAGCCGTTGTTCACCCGTTACTGCTAACGGGGCTTCGCCAACTTCGCGCGCATTGTTTCACCAAACCTCACACTGCTGGAGCAGCCGAGTCGGCCTACGCTTTGGGACTAGCCCGAACCTCGCGCCAGCGTAGCACTAGCTACCTCACACGCACCGCGATGCCGTTTGCATGTTTTGCGTACAAATGTTCGCTCATGCCTTCGCTCACGCTTTGTACTCACTTTGACACATTAGTGCAATCCTTGCTACATCGATTCATTGCACCCGTAAGACGTGGTATCAGAGCTACTTTCTTTCGCACCACCCATCTCCGCACCCCAGGAAATCAACTTTTGATTTTCACTCAAAGGGACGCACCTAGACTAAGCCGATCCGACGCCCTTTGTAATGGCTGAACACATTGACGTCACGACGCTCACGCAGGACTGTCAGAATATTATTCTTATGTTCTAGCCTGTAGTGGGGTGCTCTATAGCGAGTACAACCCTTCTAGGGTTTGCTATTTGTATCCCCATTTCTGCTAGTTCATCTCTCTTTCTTCCTTCTAACTTTGACAAGGACCGCCTGAACGAACTGTTGTGCGAGCTGCACGAGAACTCAGAAGAAATTGCGACGCTGATGGCGGAACACACTTCCCTGCGGAATGACGTCGCACGAGCACAACAAGCGCAATCACAAGCATCTGGCACTCCGGTACAACCCGCACCACAAGCATCGCAGCACGGAAGTGTGGGGCAACCCGCGAGCGTGGCCAGTGATGGCGTCGTCCGCCACGACGGAGGTGACGACCACGACACGACATACCCCGAAGCAGCGAATGCGGCCAGGAGTCAACCTCGCGTCACGATTTCTGTGCCGGCCGTCGAATCAACATGGCCGTTCCTGATGCCGCTAAAGCCGCAGCGTCCGCCATGCTTTGATCCGAGCCAACGGGGTGGTCCTACCTTTCAGGCGTGGTTGTTCACGTTGAACGTTTTCTTTGACGCCAACTACGTCTCGGAGGATACGGCAAAGATTCCCTACGTTGTGTCGCTGCTGCGAGGACCCGCCATGGACTGGTGGCGTGTCATCGTCATGAAGCCAATGGACTATGCGACTCTACCGACACGGGAAGGACAAACTGGACCGTGTGCGCCGTCGTATTTCGTGGAGGTGCCCCAATTTGAGCCAATCGCGGCTTTGATTGCAGCGCGACAGAAGCTCCGCACTTGGCGCCAACTCGGTTCCATCCAGGATTACACCAGTGGGTTTCTGGCGCTACGCGTGCAAGTGGGATACATGCACAAGAGCGAACTCATCGACCGCTACATCGGCGGCCTGAAGCAGGACATCGCTCAAGAAATTCAGCTTCGTGGCGTCACCGACTTTCAAGAGATTCTCGCTATGGCGGAACGAGACCCGGGTCCTACAGAAGCAGTAGTAACTGGGGGCATCAGAGTCGTGGGACGAACGAGAGCGCTACGATACTTTCCATCGCCGCCAATGCTGCTGCCGCACCGTTTAAAGGGCGCTGCTTCGGTGCAATCGGCCGGGACACCGCAAGAGCGAATGCCCGGAAAACGCTGAGCAGCAGAAACAGACCAAGCAGCAGGGAAACGCCGGGAGTCAGTAGCAGACGTGCCCTCTATTGACAGGTCATGCCGCTCGCCCGACCCAACCGACCCTCACCGAGTGATTGTGCCGGTTCATGCAATCGACCACACCCGACCGAATAAGGAGGGTACTATGGTGGACAGCCCCATACTACTTAGTGGGAAGATCGGGATGGACATAATAAAAATATTCGTAGATGGGGGAGCCAGTCACAGCATGGAGGACATATGTTTACCTGAGATCGACGCACGACTGGTGGACAGCACGCCACTGGCGATACGGGAACGCGTAGACCGGGTTCGGATTCGATGCGGGTGTAACTTAACATTTAGTCAGGAAATGCTCGCGACAACCCTTGACGGAACCGACATTTTACTCGGTCGTGATTGGCTACGACGGCACAATCCGCGAATCGACTGGACGACGGGTGACTGCACCGTGCGAGTGAATGGTAACAACATCGCCTTACCTCGCTGGGGCTCGCCTTTGTCAGTGCGTGTCAACGCAATCACGATGAAACGTGCCGTAGCAGAAGGAGCTAACATTTACGCGGTTGACATTCAGGGAGCTGAGGCAGCAAACAAAGGGGGGGATTTACAGAAACTACTAGCCGACGTACTAGATGACTTGGCAGCGCTCCTGAAGCAGTACAGTGGGATATTTCTGGATGACTTGTCGACGGAACTGCCACCTCTGCAACCGCACGACCAAAAGATAGAGTTAGAACCGGGGGCATAGCCGACAATACAGCGACGGTTTTGACTGACCCAACCCGAACTGGACAAACTGAGGAAGCAGCTGCTGTGGAGATAACTACTACAACGGGAGCTAGACTACGGGCTAGGTACGGATGCTCGTGTGATCTCTGCGTTCTTTGGTCCTTCTCGTTTTTCTAGTGCACACACAACTTGCTAGTTCACGGGGAGAATTGGCAAGAGTTTCACTAGAGAGAGTTGACAACAATGGTACAATGAAGTTAGCATGGCTAGACTACATCAGAGCTACCATTCAGGTTGGTCGACTGCCAGCGCAGCACGGTCGATCGCGTTCCAGCATGACTTGGTCAAGCGCGCTCGAGCAGTGCAAAGTCGACAGCGTGCCAACGTCGCACGTTGTCGGCGTGCCAGCATTGCTCCCGCAGAACAGCAGCGCACCCGCTTCGCAGGTGCTCGCAGATGATTGGCGGCCTGAGCCTCGTCACCTGCACAACGCACACACCAAGTCATCCTCGTGCTGACAACTCCACCTGATCCGCCATGTCGACCTCAAGATACCACCCCCGAGGTCGGGCTCGCCAACTTCGCCTGGGCGACCGTCGCACTCCTCCGCATAAGTTCGTCACCCAGGTAACCTGGTCGACTTGGCAACCACGTCAACCAGCTGCTCCCGTATGTGCCCATCGACCTCCCACGTCGACGACCACCTCCATTCGAACTCACTAGGTCGACCACACCCTTGGTTGACCAGCTCCAGGTCGACGTCACTCTTGGTCGGCGAGCTCCACGTCGACCAGCATTCTTGGTCGATCAGCTTCATGTTGACCAGCGCAGTTGTCAGCCGACCACCCAAGATGGCTACCCGAAGTCGGCGTCACGAAGTTGACGCCCTGCTACTTCGACGCCCAACTTCTCGGCGTCCTGAGTCGAGGTCGGCGTCGGTCCCTCCTTCGTCGACCACCAGATCAGGTCAACCACCAGCAGGTCGACCAACAGGCCTGGTCGACCAACCACCAGGTTGACCAGCAGTCTGCCAGCTGACCACCGAAGTCGGCTGCCCCAAGTTGACGTCACCAAGCTGACGTCCTCCGCAGGTCAACTTCCCAGGTCGACCTCCCTGAAGTCGGCGCCACCCCAAAGTCGGCGCCCGTGCAGTGGCTCTCGTGCAGGTCGACCTCCTCGTCAACCAGCTCGCCCACTGCTGCAGGTCCGCTCCTCCCCTCACACCCGACCACGAAGTCGGCTTCGCCCAACCGAGGACGGGGCCAACAAACAACTCCCGTTGACACTCCCGTGCCATGTTCACGCTTGGGCCCCCAGCCCACACGGCAGTACTGCTCGAAGAATAGCTCATCGACGTGCACCCAACACACAGCACGTCGTCCACCGGACCAGCCATGCAAGAGGGCATGGCACCTACTGCTGCACGTTGCCAACTTCGTCGCCCACGTCGGCCAAGCGCACCTGGCCAATGGTGACGGAGCACCGATTGAAGGCCGGATAGTGCAACGCCTTTGTCAGGAAGTCGGCCGGCTGCTCAGCGGTCGAGATGTACGTCCGCGAAAACTTCCCGCGCCTCACCATGTGCTGCAGCCACGCCTGTCGCCGCTCCATGTGCTTGAGGTTGCCCGTCAACCCCATGCCCTCGGCGACTGTGATGGCCGACTTGTTGTTCACCCAAAGGACAGTCGGCTTCCCAGCATCTAGCCGCTGGAACTCTGCAAGGAGGAAGCGAAGTCGACGTCCCTTCTTTCCAGCTTCGGTGGCCGCCACGTAATCCGACTCGGTCGACGACAACGTCGCGCACTTGATGCGCTGGCTCGACCAAGAGACTGCGGCCCCTCTGTAGACAAACACGTAGCCGCCCGTGCTCGTCCTGTTCGGCTTGTCACTGGCGTCGTCGGCGTCCACGTAGCCGACCAGCTCCAGCGACTCGGGTCCACCGCCGAACTCCAGGGCGGTGTCACGCGTGTTGGCAAGGTAGGCAAGGCAGCGGTTGACCTCACGCCAGTGCTGGTCACTCCTCACCGTGAGGCCGCTCCCCAGTTTGCTGCAGGCAAAGGCAATGTCCGGCCTCGTCGTCGTCGCTGCAAACTGCAGCGAGCCGACCCTCTGCCGGTACTCCTCCTCCTGTCGCTCCTGTGCCTCCTCGTCGTCGAAGGTGAGCTCGGCGTAGGCAACGACCA